TCTTCAATTAAGCTTAGCTTGAATCACAACTACTACAACACAATCGTATAACAGCGACCACTTCATTTATCCGCTTCCGCGAAAGCTTTCCTACTACCGATCCGCAATGCACAAACTCAGAACACCAACTAAATGCTTCGCGCCACAGATGTTGATCGCGAGTCGTTGGATTCGATTGGTGACGGAAGTTTTGGCGCTGTCGTACCGTTTTACGATACAATGCATTTGCTATGATTATTATATGATATATTTACATTTTGCTTTATCTTTCGCTTATGACGAGCGTGCAGTGTATCTCTGTTCGAATATATACAGATGAGAGTACAAATTTAACTATTGTAATGAAACCAAATGATCGTTAGTAGGGTATCCATGATAATGACTTGCTTTCGTCGTCAGATTCGATTATAAGTTCTATTTGTAATTTTTCGGTATTAGATAAATACACATACCCGAAGAAAGGACTTCCAAACGAATCAAAATTTCCACAATTAGGCTAATATTTGTTTAAATTTTTTTCCATGATACGGCTTTGACCTCTTATAGCGTCTTCATTGAAAGAAGGCGAAAAAGTGGTAGTTCCCTTATTTTTACCTTTTAGTAAGTAGTATTCTGTAAATAAAAACAAGAAAAAACGTTAACTTCGGCTGTACCGAAGTTAATATACCCTTCACACTTACATTTCTTTTAATAACTATGTGTTTAGTTTATATGGAACCTATATGCAATAGTTATCCGATATGAACAATTTTTTCGGATATTACATTGCTGCCTTAGAAAATAATCTATACCAAATTTCGTGAATATATCTTGTCAAATGCAAAAGTTTTCCATACAAGAACTTTTTCCGATCGTTCAGTTTGTACGGCAGCTATATGTTATAGTGGTCCGATATCGGTAGTTCCAACAAATGAGCAGCTTCTTGAAGAGAAAATGACGTTTCAAAACGATATCTTAAAAACTAAGGGACAAGTTCGTATATATACAGACAGACAGACGGACAAACGGACATGGCTAAATCGACTCAGCTCAACATACTGATCATTTATGTATATATATACTTTATAGTGTCTCCGACGCTTCCTTCTGGGTGTTACAAACTTCGTGACAAACTTAATATACCCTGTTCAGGGTATAATGATGTTTTAATAAGTGCAGCTTATTAGTTCGAAGGTAAATACTTGTTACCTAACAAAAATATTAGTTCGAAGGTAAATACTTGTTACCTAACAAAAATGGTTTTGAAATTGTAGTGTATTGCTGATATTATTGTACCCTAAGCTTGCCACGATGTTTGTAACTCGCAAAGGAAACGTCGGAGACCCTATAGAATACATATCTAAATGAGCAGCTGAGTCGATTTAGCCATGTCCGTCTGTCTGACTGTGCGTATATAGGCAATTAGTCCTTCTGTTTTTAAGATATCGATCTGAAATTTTGCTCACGTCTTTTCTCCCCAAGAAGCTGCTTACGCTGATCGGAACCGCCGATATCGGACAACTATATCATTTAGCTGCCATATAAACAAAGCAATCGGAATCAAGTGTTTGTATGGAAAATTGTTTCATTTGATGAGACATCGCCACGAAAATTGGCAAGGATTGTCTAAGGCAAGAATACAATTTGTTAAGGAAGTGTTTGGATAGGAAAACTACATCGTATAGCTGTCATACGAAGTAAACAATCGGAAGCAAGTTTTTGTAGGGAATTTTTTGTATCTATGAAGGGTATTATAGCTCCGGCGCAACCGAATTTTACGTTTTTCTTGTGGTTTTTGTTTTGCAATCCGTTAAGTTTTTAATTTTAATAAATAATAGAGGACATGACCACGCTTCACTATGGCTGACTACTACCATCTATATGATTTCTATTACTTGGATTATAATTATCAGTTAATGAGATATAGCATTTCTCTGAAGCAACTTGTGTTAGTTTACAAAGAAATGGGTAATAGAGCATTTCGAGTGTTAATAAATCATTTCTTTTTGGAGGAAAATACTGTTGAATTTGGGCTCAGGGAAATCCACCGATGAAAAGATATTTGCTAAGCTTAAAGAGGCGAAACCTCTATGTAAAGTGGGTGCCTCGCAAGTCCATAATCCAACAAAAAGAACGAATAACTGATTCTCAGAAGTGTTTGAGTCCTCTCTAATCGGAATAAAGCCGAATCTTTGCCTCGGTGATAGAAACCTAGCTCTATCATTTTCCACTGGAGTCCAATCGACAGTCATTCTAGTGGTCTGCACATGATGAATCTGTTCTCAGGCGTGGAAAGACGAAAAAGGCGACTGGAAAGATTATGACATCAGTATGGTACGTGCACGTGGTATATAATAATACATACTCAATGACTGATTACTGAGCCAGTTATAATTTATTTCACTTCATATTTGGTTGCACTTCTTTTCTAATATTCCAAATACTTAGCAATTGTATTATTTTTGAGGAAGAATCTGTTTAAAATTATACGCATATAATCAAATGATTCCTACAAACGTGAATTTTGTACAAATGCATATGATTTAAAATATAATTTTTTGTATTTATGAGTTGTATTTTATTTTGACATAAAAAGATAGAAAGTCTCCTATGTCCTTACCCTGGTTCTAAGCTACCTCCTCACCAATTTTCAACCAAATCGGTTCAGCCGTTCTTGAGTTATAAATGGTGTAACTAACAACAACTTTCTTTTATATCGGGTGATTTTTTAAGAGCTTGATAACTTTTTTAAAAAAAAAAACGCATAAAATTTGCAAAATCTCATCGGTTCTTTATTTGAAACGTTAGATTGGTTCATGACATTTACTTTTTGAAGATAATTTCATTTAAATGTTGACCGCGGCTGCGTCTTAGGTGGTCCATTCGGAAAGTCCAATTTTGGGCAACTTTTTCGAGCATTTCGGCCGGAATAGCCCGAATTTCTTCGGAAATGTTGTCTTCCAAAGCTGGAATAGTTGCTGGCTTATTTCTGTAGACTTTAGACTTGACGTAGCCCCACAAAAAATAGTCTAAAGGCGTTAAATCGCATGATCTTGGTGGCCAACTTACGGGTCCATTTCTTGAGATGAATTGTTCTCCGAAGTTTTCCCTCAAAATGGCCATAGAATCGCGAGCTGTGTGGCATGTAGCGCCATCTTGTTCTTATACACATCTAGATGTGTATAAGAGACAGCCATTCACCGTAACGTTGCGTCCAACGGCATCTTTGAAAAAATACGGTCCAATGATTCCACCAGCGTATAAACCACACCAAACAGTGCATTTTTCGGGATGCATGGGCAGTTCTTGAACGGCTTCTGGTTGCTCCTCACCCCAAATGCGGCAATTTTGCTTATTTACGTAGCCATTCAACCAGAAATGAGCCTCATCATTATGTAGACCATAAATCGGACGTAAAGCGCGAAACACATTTCGAACCGAACACTGATTTTGGTAATAAAATTCAATGATTTGCAAGCGTTGCTCGTTAGTAAGTCTATTCATGATGAAATGTCAAAGCATACTGAGCATCTTTCTCTTTGACACCATGTCTGATATCCCACGTGATCTGTCAAATACTAATGCATGAAAATCCTAACCTCAAAAAAATCACCCGATATTTAGATTTATGTTACACTTGATGATTCACAGTACAAACGCTTCTATTTTCATAGAAATACAAAGTAACATTGAAGATTCTAAACTACCATATACTGGATACCACTTCCCACATAAGTTTGCTTTATATGGGACTTACTTAGAGGTAGCGCTCAGAGGTTCAGATTAACGCTCTCAAAATATAATCAGCTATATTTTGTTAATGTTTTTGTGTTAATGTCAACCGCATTTGCGGTTGTTTCAAAATATTTCTCTCTACAGTTGCTGGAAAGCTGGTCGTTGCTGTAAGCAGCTGTAAAGCTTATAGATTGGCGCGACTCTGCGCTTTGTTCATATTGAATGCGCAATGAGTCACGTAAACATTAGCGGTTTGTGAATTTCTAAGCAAATTTCTAGTAGGCGAAGGTATAGAAAAGAAGAAGCTGCTATTTTATTTCTTTTATAAATATACTTATGTATGTATATTTCTTTGGAAGTAACCAATGAATCAGATATCCATTATTTAATCATTGTAGACTAATGAATTTTAATTCAACCTCCACTAAAACAATTTATCTTGATGTCTTGACGAACTGATATGCGAAATGTACATAACTTCCGCCACACTGGGTTGGTGTATTAGCTAAAACTGAAAGCTTTCTTGTAGTCAACGCCACAACCTTTCAAAGCTTACACTTTTTTCCAAACGGAGACTGTTATCCATGAGCAAAGTAGGTCCGGTAGAAAAGTGGTTGTTTTATCTTGGATCATTAACTCTAAAAGCATAGCCATGCTTAAAAACTGACGTAAAGTAATTTTAATCTAGAAGTGCTTTTTATACTCTGACCAGGGTATAATAAGTTGTATACCATGCTTGTAACATCCGGTAGGAAACGTCAGAGACCCCCAAAAATGCATATGTATGTACATATATAAATGATCAGCGTAGCGAGCTGGTTCGATTTAGCAATGTCCCTCTGCTTGTCTCATTTTTTGAGATATTAATCTGAAATTTTGCATTAGTCCTTCTCTGACCAAGAATATGCTTATTTGTCGGAACAGTCGATTTCGGACTACATATAGCTGCCGCGAAAACTGAACGATTGAAATGAAGTGTATCTGGAAAACTTTTTTTTATTTTACGGTTAAGGGTTCGACTGTATGGAGGTACGCCGCGGTGGTTTTACCTAGTTCCATTGGTTTTAATAATGAGGTTTCAACTGTGACATCACAAAAAGACTTTGCCAAAACATGCCGGCTTTTGTACTTATAATCTTATTCTATAATTTTCTAAAAAGTAATATAAATAAATCTTTAAAATCAACATTTTATTATAATTGGTTTTTAATGAATTCATTTGAAAATTTTTTTATTTTAGTACTTTAAAATAATATTTAATTGAAATTTGTTCAACGTTCATAATATCAAAGCCGTATGTGCTAACTTATACATTATTCTATTTTTTTAATAAGAGAAAACCAATTGCACTAAAAATTAAAATTTCATTATTAAATAGTGAGTTGTTGATGGTATAACTACTATAAGTATCTTTATAAACTAGCCAATATTCACTCCTATAACTGGACTATTTGGAATTCATAGCTGCGCCTGCATTGTTTGTATAAACTACATTATCTATTCATTTTAATTAATTATAATTTTAATTATTTCAATAAATGCCTACTTTTAAATACATTTATATCAGTACTCTCTCTTAATAAGAAATTATTATTGATACATCTTTTTTATTGCACTTAGTGGATACAGATTGATTGCACGTTTCCGGCCAAAGACAACGGAAGATATCACATTGTTCGTTTAAATTCTACAATAAGTACACACTACCAACTATTTCTCTCAACGAACTAACTTAATTGTACACATTTGGGCTACAGTCTGATGTCTAACCCTCCTGAGGGATATGACCTCTGTTATTGCACTTGGTTTTTTTAATTTTTGAATTTAAACTTAAACTAAACGAAGTAAGAACAAGAAACTTGAAATTAGACTTTCAATTTAATTCTTGTACATTGTGTTCTGCACATAGTTTTAGGGGATGTTCTAGTCTGGTTGAAGCGAATGCCGAAATTTTAAACACGTTTTTATCGAAACTACTTTTTTGATGCGGTCGTCACGATATCACAAGTTCTTATCATCCTTTCATCAATTTTCTTTGAGATTTAGCATGAATACTGTTTAAATATTTTTTTATCGTGTAGACCATTTTTAATTGTAGAGTTGGCTCCATTTTATGAATCTTTTTTCAGAAAAAGTTATTCTTCCATTACTGGACATTTTTGAAATGATATCATGGGTAGAAAACATAATGACAAAGACACATTTTCACTTGCTTCAAATTTAGACATCCAGATTAGAATAGTCCCTTAAGCGTGATGTAACGTAAAAATGTTCAGCTATTTCTCACATTTTTGTACAGTACAGAATGAGTTTCAATGCTTTCCGCACCCGATTCCCACATATCTTCTGCATTTGTCTCACCATCTGTCTCCGAGGAGCCATATGATGGACTCTTTCTGTCTCTTCGCTGCTCTTCCTCCTCAGATGAGTATACATTTAAAGCATCCATATGCGTTATGTCCAAGTTAGTGCCACTCGAATGAGTCAGTGTTTTATCAGACTCGGCATCGCTTGAGTCTGCATCCGGAGAATCTTGCGCGGCTGTGGCATTACATCTCATTACTGAGACCTCCCCCTCCAGTGGCTCACTCATGTGCTCAAAATCTTCAAACCGATTGCTATCTAATATGCTGCCACGTCGCATAGATGCCGTCATACCGTTGTGACGATCGGTTAAAGTACTGTCGCCATCCGAATTATCTTCAATTGTATCTATGCGTATAATGCGATCACGACCAGACATCTTTTTAAAGTTGTAACGATCGTAGAAGCTACGTTTGTGTACTTCACCCGAATCGGCGCTCATGTAACCGCTGTCCAGTTCTTGAAGACGTGATCCGAATCGCTGTCCATAATAGTTATGAGAGCCAGGTGCAGAGTAACTACTTTTTGGGGAAGATACTCGTGGATGTTCGGCAATAAGCGAGGAAATGCCTTCGTCACGGTCGAGCACCTCCAGAAAACCAAGCGGCTTTTTATCATAAGGAGGTGCTGGACTATGTGTTGGACTAAATTTGGAAGCAGCCATGCTAACGAACTTCTTCCATGCATTCTTGAGATCCTTTGTTTTTTTGGCGCGATCTTTGAGACCCATTGCAATTTGCATTCCATGTGTCAACTGCACAGGCTCGATTTCACAATGATAAACTGTTTGTATTGTGCTTATTGGTGCCTGTGCAGGTGGTGGTGGCGTTGAGTTGGCACTATTACTATTTGAAGCTGTGCTTCGTTGTGGATATGCTATGCCGACTGGTACTCCAGCATTCCTATATAGTTCCTTGGTGCGATCGGACAGTCGACTGCTGCTACGATTCGAACGTGAACCGATCGACAGCAGGTCTAATTTACTGTTGTCTAACTCACAAATTTTCACATTATTAATATTATTGTTCGTTTCGAGCTGCGTTTCGATATCTTTACGACAAATCGGGCCTTCTTCAGCGGGATCTACAGTTTTTCGACGGTTCATGTACTTCGTAAGGCTATAGTCACCCCTCAAACCATTGATTTCCGTATTGAACATTGTTCCATAGTCATCTCCAATGTGTTTAGATTTTGTTTTTGCGGGTGGTGAATCTAAATGCTTGTCATTGTGGAAACTAACGCGACTACTCAAATATTCTTGTGAATCAGTTGGGTCCGGTTTATCTGGCTCATCATGTGCAACACTAGAGAGCGTGTTGTTGCATGAACCATCAAATTCTGAGTTGGGTAGGTTATCCGATACACCCGTGATCTCGGTGGATTCGCTATGATTGCTCGTTGTCTCCTCTTCAGTGGCTGTTGTTGTAGCATTTGTACTGGTGGTGGGGTGATGAACAAAGTGTTGGCGATTGAGGGGATTGGGGTTCTGGTCATGATGCGAGTGCCGTTTAGAGGCGTGACTTCGCTGGCTTGTTAATGTGGTGGATGCGGAACTTGGTGGAGGTGGTGGAGGCAATGGTAGCGGTGAACGACTGATGCGTTTCTTTTCACCCAGTGATGAAGATGACGCTTTGCTGGTAGTTGTGCTGTTCAGGGTGCTGCTGGGAGTAGGTGAGGGCGTTCGGCTTGCGGTAGGCATTGGTGTAAGCGGAGTTTTTACATTTTTTGTTAGTTCGTAGAAACTCTTTGACGAAACCGAAAAGTTCTTAGGAGGTGGGGACGGCGTCGTCTTTGGAGAATGTACATTAGGACTAATTACTGCAGCTTCTGCAATGCGTCGAGCTTTCGGTGTACTAATTTTAATAGTAGTTTTATTAGATGCTGCATTCGAGATCTCTATGTTTGTGGGTGGTGGTGGTGAGACAGGTGATTCAACGATTTGTTGACGCCGCTTTTGTTTAGCCTCGAGCGTAAGTAAACGCCCTTGATCATTACTTAAATCGAGCTCTTGGGCGCTAGCATATTGACCTCCACACTTACAGCTTGATTGACTATTTTGTCGTACCAATGGCGATTGATAAATCTCTCGTAAGCTATTGACGTTGGGCCTTCGTTCACCATTCAGCTCGTTGACTAATTCTCTTGTACGAGGCGAGACGTGGCTTTCGTATGCCGGAAAACAGCCACTGCCATGGCTACTTTGACTTCGAAATGAATTAGTTGAACGCAACATTAATGATGATTGATGTCCATGCAGTTCATTATGCGTCTCGTGCAAGCCCATCACAGGCAGCGAGGTGTAATTATTTAGCTGATCTCCATTTTGAATCTTTTTTAAGGCCTGTTCCGGCCAGGCGCTCACATCACAGAAGCTTTGCTTCTTCGGCTTGCGATCTAATGTATCAGGCTCAAATTGATCGCTATCTGTAGAGCGTTCGATATCTGATTGAGGTTCATGTTCTACTTCAATGGTCATACTGCCCCGAAACGGTGTGTCATATTTAATACGTGCTGCTATTTCTTTCTGTTTACTGCTATCGCTGTCTGATTTGTTTAAAGTTTTTTTCTTCAGTCCAGCATCTGGACGAAACCCCTTTGATTTGTCGTAGACTGTGTGACTGATCTCTAACTCCTCCTCAAGCGGTAATGCTGTACTTAGACTAGGGCTGAGCTGGGAGCTCACATCGGATGAGGGAGACGAGGACGACTGAGAGCTTTTACGCTTAGTGGCCTCCAATCGCTCTAGACTATCGGTTTCGTAATCCACAATTAGATATTGTGGTGACTTGCGTCTATAAATCGGCGAATCGGGTTGAAATTGTTTGAGCGATTTGCGACTCAGGGTACTGTAGTCAGGCGTTGGTACCGATGGTACGCTGCTCTGTGTATTGTTATAAATGTCTTTGATTTTCTTTTCAATTGTACTATCATAGTCCGGTGTTGGTATATCCAAATGGAAACCAGTATTGGCATTAAAAGCAGCAAAATACTCACGATTGAGCGAATTGCGCATAACATCATATTGCTGGCGCCCGGTAGGGCAAAGTGAATTGCTGGCAGAAGATGGCTCGTAGATGTTAAGAACATCTCTCTGTTTGTGTACTACGTTGGACTTGGATCGATGAGCAGCGAAATTTTGTTCACGTTGTGATGAGCATGGAGAGTCATGAAGTGAAAATTTGGGATTATTGTAAATCTCGCTGCCAGTTTCAGCGAAACCATATATATTGGCTGCAGCAGAGAGCGCAGAAAATGCCTTACTGTAATTATTATTAACGGGTGTATTGACAGAGTTATCTGTAGAAACACTGGAGCAATAAAGCTGGTAGGAAACCGACGACGTGCTTTTAATGATATCTATGTCACTTACAGGTGACCCTTGTGCAGTCGGTTTTGAGTTGACTGTGTGGCGTTTAATATTGTCAATTCTATCTGCGCCATCAGTGGGTATGGGAGGTGGCGGAGGGCGCTGCTTGGGAGACGTGACCTCCTTACTTAATGTGCCACATTGAACGTTGCAACTATGTGAGAGACTTGAAAGCGATGGCGAGGAACTGCTTAGCGACTGACATCTGATGTTTTCGTTTAGGAGCTGTTCTAATGGTTGAGCCTTATTTGTCTGTGACTGTTCATTGGCACTGCTGGAGGGTTGTGTCTGAGTGTTTTCATTGTTACCGTCCCCCTCATTGCTAGTCACCGTCTGCAACCACTTTTCGATGCTATTTCGCTTGTCGCCGCAATTTTTCACGTGGCCGCTGCAACGATTATTCGCACAGCCATGGCACTCGGACGGCGACTGTTGGCGGTTTGAACCATACAGAGAGGCTGTATCAGAGCGTTGTGCCCCCTCTTCAGGTATCATAATAAGCGAAGGTTGGTATCTTTTTGTAGCCATTTTATATTTCGCTATTGCAATTACTTCACGTATTTTGTGTAAGAATTCAATGGCGGCGGGTGGAGGTTGCTGAAGATGCATAAGTAGTTAATTAAGAATGAAATATGTGAGTTAGTTATTAGACAATCTTTAACTTTTCCTTCACACTTACCGCCAATAAATGTGGTTCAAAGTAGGCGGGATTAAAGTAAAGCTTTTTACGCACACTACCGTTCATCATTTGCCTCAAGTGTTCCAATTTCTCCTCAGTCATCATGTCCTCAACAATCGAAACATTCTTCATCATGTCCTCAACAATCGAAACATTCTCTACCGGCAGGCATTCCGTCTCTTGTGTGGGCGACGATGACAATGTCGGCTCGCGTGTTGTCTCAGCAATCGACTGATCTTTCGCGTTCTTCGGCGAACCGTTCGGTGAGCTGTTGTGCAACTTTCCCATACCTCCCAATTGCGGATGTACCAGCGCCGATGTCTGCATCTGTCAAGTCACGCAAACGCTTCAATATCCTCAAGCATATATAATAAAAGGGAGAATGCACAAAGCATGCAAAATACCTGGTTGAGTTTTTCTTGTAAAGTACCATCCATTTCGCATTCGGAATTCGAATTCGATATGTCGCTAGCAAAGCCCGAATTATGCTCGCTCAATTGGGGAAAGTGTTGCAATAAAGGATTACTTTTGACGATGCCCATTTCCTCTTTTAAACTTCCAATGCTAGTGCGTGAACGTGGCTCATTTGATGCGCCCATGCTGGTGGCTGAGTAAATGCTGCCACTACGATTGAAAGGCGCGCCGAATGTCACTTGGTCATTTTTAGGATAATTTATCTCATTGTTCATGTCATCGAGAGAGTTGCGTGTGTGCGCCGATTGGTGACGACCCTTTCGTTTCTTCATGTGCAGGTACAGAAATACGGAGGCTACATAAATAAGACCAAGCAACAGACTGCAAACGGCAATTACCACATACTCTTTAGTGGACATGCCGTCCGAAGTGGAGGCCAGTGTTGACGTAGTTTCCGACTGGAAGAGGACCTCTGAGACATCTGTTTTTTGGTGGTTAAAAGTGAAAAAATGTTGTGATTTAATTTAAATAAGATCAAAAGTGATTGATTTTATAATGCTATCGATGAATATAATTACTGTGAGTGTATTTAACTGGTGTGCCGTTGACGCGAAAGGCAACACAAGGTGAGTAGACATTCTTTGGTGGCAACATGTGTTCTAAGAAATTATTTCAAATTCTATTAGATTATCTGTTTTGAATTTTTATTATTATATGTACAAAATATGTGTGCGTACCTTTGCTGGTGGAATTCAAAGAAATTGTCATGTCGCGACAGACTAAATGCACCACAATGAGTCGACCTTGCATTTTGTGGCGCAAATCCGGTTCACCCAGCCACTGAAAAAGTTAAGCACATTTAATTCATATTTAATAGTAAAGGTCTGGTCTGTTCGATTAATTTCAATGTTTAAATACTCAGTGTTTAAATTACTTGAACAATAATATACAGTCCACTATCAGTTAACAGCATACAAAAATGAAAAAAAAAAAAATATGTGATGAGATACAATACAGAAAAACAACCCTTATGGCGGTTATTGTATTCTTCATCATAAATCTTCAAGTGCCTAAGTCGCACACACACACATACATACATACATACTTATATAAACAAACAAATAGAAATGCAAAAGATGCTCACTAGCAAATGTATACAAATGCATTTGCTGATAAACTAAAACGTTTACTTTTAGATGAGACCAAGGCACTTATTATATAATATGGGTAAAATAAAATAAAAAGAAATATTTCAAGTAAAATAGCAGTGCCTGTCATTTACATATTACCCCTCACCGGAGGTAAGAAATAAGTGACGCAGCGCTACAATAGCTTTTATTTAACACCCAGAATATAGGTCAATAGTGGGATTTATGACATAAATCGACCACAGCATATATATTTCTCTGAGATAGTGATCGTTAACCGTTCGATCAGAGTTATTATTTCGATAAACGATAAAATGTAATTTGAAAATATGACGAAATGTCTTAAAGAAATTTCACACCCCAAATTACTACAGTCGTTTTCAAGCTTAGAGAATAAAAGAAATAACGTTCTGACGTTTGCGAAAGATGCTTTTCGACTTACTGCCATATTTCGAAAAACATTGTTTAAGTGATTCTGACGTTTGTTCGATATTTAAAGTTGAAGGGTTTGTTTTATTTATAAATGTTAAATTTGGTTTTAGTGACAACCTATTAATTTGAATAATTTTATGACTTTTGGTTGGGTCTAAACCAGGACATGGGGAAAATCTAAGTAAAGATAAGTTGGTAGGTGATTTGTATATATCATTATGCTACCTACAATATTATTCTAGTCTGCAATTTTAATGCCGTTCAAAAGTTTCTCATGCCCATAGATTTTTTATGGCTCATAACTAAATAAACGCGGTGGACACGCTAAGGGTTGAAAAATTCGATTTTAATAATTTTCGTTATTTTTCTTAAATAGTTCTTTACGTGCGATTTTTAATGCTTGTAAAAATGAATGAAAGTATTATTAGTAAATTCATTCGATTACATTTTATTTCTTTCGTACTAATTTTAGAATTTAAGTAAGAATTTGACGTAAAGTTGTCGCTTTATTTGGGGATGCCGCGTCGGCGTCAACGCGCCGCTCAACGATTTTATTTTTGCCAGCTATCTTTCTTCTTTAAATTTACCTTTTAGTTTCGTATGCTTTAGTTGATAGGTTTTTAAGTGAAGTTATTACCAGTTAAGTTAGTACTTTTGAAGTTAAAGCATGATCATTTAGTTGATTTAAAAAAATCATTTTCTTCATCAAGCATGGTATCTGAGCATGTGTGCTGCAAGTGTAACAACGGAGGTGCACGCGCTAGTTATTAACACTTTAATGGTTTTCTTGCTTTGTGTGTCATCTGTTGTGTATAAGCATGTACGATTTAGTTGTCACACAATCGTTTGCGTTTTCCTGTAACATTGCTTCCCTGATAAATTTTTGCTGAATTCTATTCGTTCATGCAGCTCATCCGCAGAATTGCTAAATTGTAGAATTGGGACTCACCTGCAAGAAAGTACGCCCTTCGTCACGGAACATACGGAATGGGTAGTCTGTATCGATCGGGTTCCGCAGATCTGACCAGCCGGTGGTGGTGAGATATTGGGCTCCAGTGACTGCGCACACGGGTGTACGAATATCTGCAATTTTTTTTAAAACATTTCCATAAATAAATGACAAAAGCGCGTACGCTGTCAATGCTAAAGAAAGCGGTCAAACATATTCGTATGTAAGAGTAAGCCCATACTAAGCTATAGGAGATTTCTTATCGTATAACATTTGTTTTGTTTTAAGATTTAAACAAGCAATAATGACAAATATCAACGTAAATGCCGTTACTTATACATATGTATGTACATAATAATAAAAATAGGTGTAAGTGAGAAAAAACCACATGAATACTATTATCCATAAGCATCCACAGCTCGCATCGGGTAGGAACCTGTGTGCGCGTATGCATGTATGTATGTGACAGATCGTAAACTTACTTGGAAAACTGATTTCTCTGCTGGGGTAAATGATTTGGCCGCGCAATGGAAGAAATACAAACGGGATTTTCTCGGACGCCGAACCGCTTACAAACGGCGAAAGAGTGCATTCTGTAAATGGTAAAAAGAAACGTACGAATCGTTACTTACATACATAGATACATGTACATATACAAACATACATACATATTTACTTTATCGATTTGTTGTGTTTCATTCAGGCTAATCAATTTGGAAACATACATACATACACACTTATAAATCGAAATTAATTAAGATGTTGTTGTTGCATATGCCTTAGTGCATTTAACACTTGCAAATGTGATTAATTTCTTCTTCATTTGATGATCTGTCGCGTTAATTGTTTCTTTTTATTTCTCTCAAAGCATTACTTTGCTTATTTAGTTTTCAAGCATGACAAACAGCAGTGAAAGCTACTTCGTTTGCCGCCTAGTACGAAAACTACAAGCAAAACGACTTATTAGTGAACATACTGGTTGTAGATACATATACACATATGTATCTATGTCTGTATAGAGCGAAAGAGTAGTTTGACTAATAACCAAGATAGTATCGCACACCCGCATATTCGTATCTTTTTACTTTTTGTTCTATTTGAGCACTAAATCCATTGAAACATCAGCAGCAGACGCAGCGAACAGAACGATGAAATCGAAAGTTAATATAGTTGATAAAGTATGACAAACATACATGGTACCTACATATGAAAAATGTTTAGATTTAGCTCAAATAAAGCCATGTGCTGCTAAATTAAACATATAAAGTTATCAAAAATAAATGAAATTTTAAAAACTTAAAAAAAAATATAATTTTTCGCATTTCTTCCCAACTTTTTCCGTCATATTTCATCTGCCGGCGAAACTATGTTGTGTTGTTAATAAAGGGAAATGCTGAATTGTACCTGCTATTTGTTAATGCATATATGTATGTACATACATACATAAGTATATATATAAACATTGAAATGTGTAATGTATATTCACTTCAAGTTTTTATGAGCTCTTTACAATATCATTGTCGGCTTGTTGTAATGTAAAAGCCACATTGTTGTTTTTGTAGTTACCGCATATTTTTCAAAACGCAAAAAATTTACTTTTATTTATCAAACGCTTTCAGTTTTTTGCTTCGTATTTGATGCTTTGCTTGCGTTAGCAATTTATGGAAAGCACGTGAATCGGCGCTAACTGTGAACTGGTGATGGCTTTGTTGTGGCGAATTATGACAACGACATGCAGCGTCGTCTTACGGTTTTTGTTGTTATACTATTTCTATAGTAATTAGATGAGAAAAATAAATGGGCAGGTGTAAAGGTAAAAAGTAGCGAGAAGAAGTTGTGGAAGATGACGCCAATAAAAGTGGGCAAAAACTGCAATTACAGCAAAAACAATGTGAATATTGCTGATTTGAAATGGCAACAACAAGCAATAAGCAACAATGGCAAATTACTTTTTACAACCACAAGTTGGAAATGCATATCAAATGGCGATTACTTGCATGTCAGTTGCCACACGTTGTCATTAAATTGTGATGGAGGTGTTGTTGCCTGTTGAAAATATGAGATAATATCACTGTTGCTTGTGCTGCTGTTGAATATTCCAAGGCTGTAGCAGCGTGGATAACAGTTGGTAATGTAACAGACCAAACATCAACAACTTGTACAGCTTCCGTATGCGTTCACAACTATTTTCGCAAGCCACCCATTCGCACCATGGGGCTGATGTGGGACCGCTTCGAAAGTGATCATAATTGATAGGCAAACAAATTGCATATTTTATGGCTGTTGGAAAACGCAAAATTATTGGAAAGAAATGTAGCTGTTATTTGAAATTACGGCAAGAAGATGTAAGGTGCTACGAACTTTCCAAGAAATAGATCTTACTTTACAAAATTTACCAAGTTTTGAAGAAAAGTGATTTGCTCAAAATGTTTCATCCCTTATTTTTACAGTTTGAGAGCAGTTGAGAGAACATGAATGCAAGTATGCTTCAAGGTATTACTCATTGGATAGAAAACTTGAAAAACCAAATAATCGGGATGACGAGGAAAGTTGAAGTCCGAGTTGAAGTCAATGAGTAAATACGCCGGAGATACTAAATTTTACCCCCGAGATGATATGTATGAGACGTATTTAAAAGAGCCTGTGTAAAAATTGGACGATAAGCGTTGCACGGCTCACATATCTTGAGACCCACCCTACCGATTTGAACAAAATTTTGTACTTAACATTCTTCTAATATATTTATTTTACGATATAAAAATGGTCGAAAGCACTGTAAACACAAACTAAGAAACAGTTTTTGTTATGAAATTAAACTTTGCACGAGTAACGCTTTTAGAGTATTCCACCTAATGATAAAAAATTTTTAAGTCCAATAAAAACTGTTCAAGTCCTAGGTACCGAATATTTGGGGCCCAGTACCTGTAGTTGACTTTTTACGAAAAATATCGGTCATTGAGTGAGATGTATAATTCAGGGAAAAATTTTCATGACAATGATATGCCTATGTGTCACACAAATTTTCGAACTTCCAGGCGATTTTATACCGCATATATCAGCCAACATGTGAGATATCTCCATGAAAATGAGAGAGAGTGTTTTACTGATAACAGTGTGTCTCTGTGCCTGAAATGGATAAATTTGGGCGAAAATTTGATTTGTCGAAGCTTTTTCGTGGATTATGATGACTTGAGTTTGGGATGTTCAACTTCATAAAAATTACGTGACACGTTGTTTGCCCGCGATGGACTAGGAGGAGGACTACTGAACCGATTTTAATAAAACTTAGCACACTGTTTCCAGTTCGAACCAACTTGGAAGATAAGATAGTAAAAAAATTTCATAAGTAAAAAATGCTGTGAAAGCTCTATTAAATGGACGCTCTTTTAAGCGGACATTTCCATTAGCAATCCACATTGGCCACAATTAGTTAATGCTAATTAAGTACAATCTATTAAGCGGATAACATTTTCACCTTTTTTCGTAAATAAAATTTTTCATTTATTGAATAGTTTATTATATGAAGAATAGGGCTGATTATTCTGCATTTTGACTCGAATCGAAATTTTTTCAGTTTGGCAACTTTGGTATTCTGCGTTTCGATTAGTTTCGATCAAACTTCGAAATTTCCAATTTTATGTATTCTACATTGCGATCGTAGTTCCGTTTTTGTAAGTTGAAATTTTGTTGGCGGAGAGCGGTTATATTTTGGTTTTAGTGTACTTTTACAATATAATTTTCCCAAAAATGTAAGTAAAATTTGTTGTTGATAGTTTTAAAAGTCACCAACATGATTTATTTAAGTTCATTGGGCTTTAATGATGTTTTTTGATATATTTGAGAGCAATATGAAAAATTGGCTGATATAATGGCAACCAAAAAAGATGTTGCGCAGGGCTTCCAACAGCGACCGAAGGAAGAAGTGAAGGAGTTTTGGGAGGAAATTGCAATTGCCCTAAATGCACTTGGTCCACCATCAAAAGACTCCAGTACATGGAGAAAGGTATTGTACTACTGAAAATACATTTTTTAAATACTTCAAACGTTTTGTTATAGGTGTGGATTGACTGGAAGTGCTATATAAAACGCAAGCTGTCTGCAAATAAAAAGGAAATTATGAGCACAGGTGGAGGTCAATGTCGTTTGCAACGTATAAGCCCACTTGTGGAGAAGGTTATAGTTTTGACGGGGTTGGAAACTTGTACAAGTGGAATAAGAGGTGCGCGGGATTATGGCGATAGTGCGCAGGTACAAGACGTTGCCCAAACCTCCGAAATGGACATTTCCGCATGTTCGGAGGATCGAAATGAAATTCCTTCATGCAGCAGAGTTAGCAGCCAGCGCAGAGAAAGAAGAACTGATAAGGAGAGCGCTTCTTCCTTACTCAAAGAGCAAATATCTCTCCAGAAAGAATTTTACGAGGACACCAAAAACCATAATGAAGCCTAGTAAAATGGAAGAAGTGGTGACATATTTACGTCGCATGAATCGTTCTTTAGAATGTATGGCGGACACCGCAGTGAAGCAACAACAAGAACAGAAACGACACAATAAAATTAAAAAGAATTGGAAGGGAAAAAGTGGAAATAAAGATGCAGATGCTAAAGTTAGATCCTAATTATAAATCAGATTCGGAGTAATTTAGTAAATAACCTAAATTTTGTGCCCAAAGTTTTTTTTTAGTTTTTTGTTTCAATTATCTTTAACTCCAACTTCATGTTGGTAACTGCCTTCCGCAAAAAATCTCAAAGCAGCCACTACGCGATTAAGCGGAGATAACGAAGTCAAAGTACTTTGTTGAGTTTCTTCCGCAAAAGTATCTAGGACATACTTGAAAGCGTCCTTATTAAATCTAAAGTTTTTTTTTTAAATCTAAATAAGGAAATCAATGAATTAAGATTTATCACTTTCAAACTCAATTTCTTACAATTCGTCACTCATCTGAAAAGGATCACACATATCTCGAAATCTTCTCCTTTCAACTTTCGCGTCAGCATTCTCGGATGCGTTGCCGTCCTCCTCAAGAAATATCGCCGCGGCTATCGATTTCATTACGCAATTATATATTTAATTTATTTTACTTAAGCACCAATAGTGTTTCAATTTCACACATTCCAAGGCAAACATCTGATTTCGAAGAGGTTATCGCTCTTCCTCTTTTTCTTTCGATTCCATCGTAACTCGGACTACCTAATTCCAATCGATGCGGAGCGGAATGCGGTAACGTAATAGAAATGCAGAATAGGGCTGAATAATATAAAATGTATACCACAGCAACGCGTGGCCGGATCCACTAGTACGTACTATATATATAATTGCTTCAATTTCTATCCTTTCTTTGACGTTTTGCCCCTTAAAGTATTTCGCTGGCTTTGATTCTTGCAAGGTTCAAGACTATAAAATCTTCAGTTGCACTTAACTTAGCCCTTTCTTACTTGTTTTATTTGTGTTCGTTAGTAGCAGTCCCAGCTTTTTCATAATTAAATTTTCCAACCAGATATTGTTAATCTTGCTCGTAGGCATGGAATCAGACTTTATAGACCATTGAGGTTCTCTGCCTTAAGACAGCCAGTATCACTAAAGTAACGACTAAAATACGAAGAAATATTACGATTATTGATGGATTTAGTAATGAAAATTTGTCTAACGTTACACTTATTGTGAAACAATTACAGTTGTATCCGTTAGCAAGCATCACAAGCCTTTGTATTGACTGCAGTTCAGTGAAAATCTTAAGAGGAACAGCATCGCCAATAAACCACAAATCGGCATTTTTAAACCGTTAATACAAGTTTTAATTAGTCAAACCGTTTTACTTCTAATACGACCGCATATATGCATACAGTACATACGCGCATGCACGGCTTTGCAACGAAGCACAATGCGAAAATTACCATCTCTAATTGGACGCTGCGACCATTTAGAATGTTGATCACACACTGAAATAAAAACATACATAGCTGCTAAAAGATATCCGCTGCTTCCATTTATTCGAGAACATGCTTGCTATAGACTTGCTAAGTTTGCGCAAATTAACCATAGCAATGCGTTGCCGCTGTATGTGCTTGCCATAGAAATGTACACGTGATGCTAGCGGATGGGGACTGTTAGATGTGTTGGACTAACGGCAGCATTGACTACCATTTTATTAATTAAAAGTCGCCTATAAGTTGTAAACCAACATAGAATTATGGCGATTACAAGATATTACTGATGGCAAAAAAAAAAAAAAAAACAATTCCATTTGCGATACTAACGTGAAACAATTACTTCTAAAATGAAATAAGATTGCGTTTAGGAGAAAGATACTATCCGTGGTATTTACAATTATATTGAACATTAATCTTTGGTTTTTCTAATTGCATACGCCTATGAGGTCGATTTTTATCGTGGTTGTCTTTTCAATTGCAAAAAATAACACATTAGCTGTTAAGCTTGTCTGCGCTTAATTTGGAGGTGTTTAAGTTTCTATTTGGCTTCAGCTAACTTACAGTTTAGGTATGAACATTAGCAAATTATATGGCAACAAATTAGGCAAGCAATGCACTGTTGCAACATGAAGCAACAACCGCTGACATAAATTGTCAATAACAGTGATTAAAGCGCCACATTCCCCTCGTCTGAACGGATTTATTATCGTTGGTTGTCGTTACTGCACCGATTTTCAGCACATATTGTTCCGTCTTCTTCTTCTAACATCGATGTGGTCGTTAGCATTCGGTGACACGACACCACAAAACGGATAAAAGTCAAAACTGATGGTGTACACCTTTGTCCCTCAATCCATTTAAATTGCGGGGGCCCTCAGTGCATACTCTACTACATATTGGCCCTAATCAGTTGTTGTTGTCTGTGAAAATTATGTCGCAGAGTTATGTTGAGCTTTACTCTATTCGGACACTTTAATAGCATTCTGACAAATGGTCGACATCAGAAGGCCATGCACTGTTCACCATATATTTTTCCAAAGTGGTTTTATGATTAATGTGGGTTTTACAAACTTCGTGGCAAACATATTATACCCTGTTCAGGGTGAGGAAAAAAGATTTACTGATCGTTTACATTTACATATATATAAAAGTAAGTATGTAGGTGTTAAGGTAACAGTCGATCGTATTTAATCAAAAAGTAGAATCGGCCCTTACTTTTACATATACTTTCCTTCCGTTTATGATTTGCTTCCTTTTTTTAACCTGTTTGCATGTCTAAATCACACTGCACAGTTACGTAGGTATAAGCGTTTTCATAGTAGTAATGACAGCGCTATTGGCAGTTTCATCAAACTGCATGTTCGGTAACAGTTGTTTGCATAAACGCTGCGTCCCGGCATGCGAAAATTACGTATCGAAAGACAACCAAAATAGTGTACAGTAAAAACTATCAGCCATAGTAGCAAAAACAAACTCTACAATAAACACAACAGTAGAATATACACTTTGTGCAACAACAAAATTAAACCATTTTCACTGGATCTAGCAATTCCCGCTGTCTTGAAAGTTTGTTTTTAATTTATTGTCAGTGGCTGCTTGTGGTCTGCTTGCAACTTCGTGATTGATAGTCCAATTTAACTAAAATTTTCAATTGCCTAGCACCCGTTTACTTTTAGAATCACCATCTAAGCTTATATGTGTTTACGTAGTTGAAGTGCTTTTCTACGCCATAAAAACGCGTTTCGCTCAGTAAACTATTGAGTTGTGGGTTGGGACCTTTTAATGGCCAGCATGAACTTCAGGTCAGTGAACAACTATATATCTGGAAAAAGTCCACAGTTATCTTGCGCTTATAAATCACTTGTGTTATGCCAATAAAGGACAAACGAAGAGCCAGACCTGTTAGTAGTCAGCAGAAAAAGTAGGTAAAGCAATTACAATTGGCATTCATAATCCATTAATACTGAGGCTGCCGCAGAGGTATCAAATCGAGGTCTTCCAAAAATTTCTTACATTTTCGTATGTTCTAATGACTTTGGGTAATGACAATGGTCGTACGATATGTGTAATATGTTAATTATTATAATGTGTTTTGTATTTTGGCGAAGTTATTTATCACCTCTCTCCGAAAAATTTTAAAGTGAAAGTATACTTATACTTATTCATAAGTATTATACATATCGTAGTAGTAAAGGCACTGCCACCGGCGAAAACAACAAATTAGTGGCTAGTTAATTAAGTGTTGTGATCGATAGTTAATTTGCCTGGGCCGAAATTTCTTTAACTCACCACAATATTCTTGTTTTGCATTGCGACATAAAGCTTATAGTTTGGCTTTTTATGGTCAGTCGTAGTTGCATCATGCGATTGTAAAAATTGCATTCAACTTAGTGAAATTTTATGTGATCTTAGTTTGCTCTAGCATAAAATTATCAAATGCTTGCAGTTTGGTTTATAAATAACCATGTAGGCATATGCTTTTTGTCGTACTTGTCGTAAGGATCTCATTTCACATTGGCCGGAGGTCTAACGTTTTATATTTGTATATATATTCTACACCACCTAATTTTAAATTCTGTTTTTTTTTTACTTGATAGTTGAAAGCTTATATTCGGTGAAATTTATAAAGTTTTGGAAATTTGTAAACTTACCGTGAACATCATCGACGCAAATGCCTAAGTCCTCCCGATATGTGCTTAAATAAGGTAAGCAGCGACACTGGCAACTCTCAGTCGGCTCGCTTGCAACAGTACGATGATTAGATTTTTGAAATTTGGGTCTTCTAACGAAGTGATCGACTCCAGCCGTAGAATGAATTGTAGCGCCACTGTTGCCTATATCAAGAGTAAATAAATTTTATAAAAAAAATTACTAATATTCATATAGTATTTATGGTACTACTTAAGACTAAAGGATCAAAAGCTAACACCCCTATTATTTATGCAATGGAGCGTGAGTTTGGTGATCGTTAGGGTCCTTTAAATTTGATCAACTTGGAAAATCGAGGCATTAACGCACTAGTAATTTAATGATGAACGTATAAATCTTAATTAAAGATCTTCTAAAAACAACGATTTTTAATTTTAATAGACGTCATAACATTTTCTTTATGTTTCATTTAAGGATTTTTTTTTCACAAATTTAAGTTACATATGCTGTCAAATAGTTTAGATAATGCTTTGGGAAATTGTAAACTGTTAGGGTTATTATCGTTTCATGTATCAAAGTCCTGCTGCCTCGTACATGTTTAAATTTAAAGCGGTCATCTTCGTTTTCGACTTCACACAAGTTTTAGAATAGTTGATAATTTTATGAGAGAAATTTCGTAGACAAAGTGTATTGAACTCACCACCTTTTTCAGCAGTTACAGATAAGACGTCAACGCCTGCCGTACCGCTCGATAAGCCAACGCAAGTGTCCGCATTACAAGTGTGTACGCCTTTTTTGAAAAATTATGGAAAGAGGAAAATGATAACTGAAACATTCGTTAAGAATACAACAAACAGTACTGTTGAACGAACACCGAAGTGTTAACAAAATGTCATTTAGTTATAAATAGAATATGTATGTATGTATAAATATGTGATGTATTATATATGTCAACTCTCCGAACATACGAGGTGGGCTGTGAGCGAGTGGGCCAGCAACAGAGAAGCTAACAAACAACTATCAAGTGCGTGAACAACTCGTAATGTTACGAGGAAAACAAGAAAAACTGCTCAGCAAGAAGGTTTATTATCACAAAAAAGTCCTTTTTTTATAGTACGGTGTGGCATCTGAGGCTTTTGGAGCTGCTGCTGCCTTTGTGTGAATGTAACGGAATTTAAATACGTGTATTAAGCGACACACAACAACAACAACAACAAGGTCTATAGTGTTTTTTCTTGTCGTGCCACGCGCTGTCACTTCCCTCCTAGTATGTGGTCGTAGAACGTTTTCGTAAGTAAGTTTCAGATTTGTCTTGTTTGCATGATTATATCAATGTTTTTATTTTTGCACAGCAATGTTTTCGTTAGTTTAAGTGATAAAAATTATTATTTTTCTTATTTCATTTTGCTTGAGCAGGAATTGAGACCCACAAGACAATATCGTTATATATATTAAAAGTTAATATATAATTGCCTTTGAGTGCCGTAGGGAACACCCAAAAACGTAATTGCATTAATCTTATTTGGGCCTTTAACTAGTAGACTAAGGGGCAATAAATTAAATCGAGAGAAGTATTTCGAAAATATGGAAATATGAAAAAATTTTTGAAAGAGTGGTTCATACGACATGAAGGGAGAATAGTGGCCGTAGTGGAAAGAGTTAGACTTGCTGCTCGAGTGCGATGTATGTACATATGTATGTATGTGAGCTAAAGATAAAATTCTGAATTGCTGTCTGAAGATCTCAATGCAAGGGAGCGTATTATCTCTCAACTCAAATGCCAATTTTAGAGCTTGTAATGATGGATGAACTACTGGGAGTAGTAGGCATGTAGATGTCTGAAAAATAGAATAATGGCTCTAAGAGCCTTTCTGCTGGCATGATTTCACATATACGCATGTACTATATATGTATATGTAGGTATGCTGCCACCTTAGTATGTTCACTTTACAAAGTTTCCAAACAAATATTACAAAAGAAGTAAGTAATAAGTGTATTGATGAAGCAATTAGAGCTAATAGTGAAAATGAATTCTCACCCATCGTCCGGAAGATATCGCCGTTATGTTGCCGTGTAAGATTGATAATATTGGCTGTAAGTTCGAGCAGTAAGTTGGCGCTGCTACTGAATATTTCGTTGCTTCCGTGACTTTGTTTCAGAGATCCCGTGTCAGCGGTACCGTCACCTGCATCGTAATTGTTTATATCATCGGTAAGACTGTCAACAATGACATCAAAGGGACCGACATCAATATCCCTGTCAGCAGTCACAACGATGTTTAACGGGTTGTGCGCCTCCGAGTTGACGTTATTCCTACCAACAGTTGTAACTTTCTCACTGGCCGTAGCTACTGCAGCCCCGGCGGCTGCGGCTAACGATGTGGCACCCATTATTTCGCCACCATGCGTAGTATCCAGTGCAGCTGAGGCTGCGATCGTTTCTGAGTCATAGTCTGTGTTGACAAAAGCGGAATGATGGTCACGTATCCCTATTATTGTTGTTGATTTGGATGCTACAGTTTCTAGTATTGATGTGGCACGGCTCTGCCATATGCTCAAGCACAGTAACACCGTTGCTACATGTTGGACACGCCCCATGTTGCCGGCAACATTGCGTCCTTGCGCCTGTAAGAGCGATGTCGGCAATGCGTGTGGCATAAACGTCACTTGAAATAGAAAATGCGTTAGGTTGTTGCTGAGGTATTTGCAATCTATTTGTAAATTCTTGTTACTTTGGCAACATTTTATAGCCACAGCAAATTATTACCTTAAAAGATGTAAGCATGCGTCTTTGGAAAATTTCCTAATTCTAGATTTCACAGCGGCAGAGGAGTCAGTGCAATTACACCATGACCATAGCTCACCCCGCAAATTTGTGTTGATGCTTGACAGATTCGTTATTATTTTCGTTAGCGATTGTGACAAGTTTCTTTTTGTATAAAATTTTGTTTAAATCTTTCTCTGTTCCTAAGGCTATGTAATCCTTTTTGTATTTCAGCTTATTATCTGCTGTCTTTATTTATTTATTTTTCCATATTCATGACGGGCACCTGAAATGATTTGCAATCATATGAAAGGAAAATATATAATTTGTCAAAATTTTATGTCGAAATGTTAATAGTAAGAAAGACTATGACGATAGTGTAATGAAAGGATCGTTATCGCTCGTAAGCAAATATTATTTGTAATGCGTGCGTGAGAGGTTACTTTTCAAGACAAGACGGCAAGGACTAGATATAAATAACTACATCGTTTAACTTTTTTGGTCAGATCACGAACGTATGTATGCTTAACGTAAACGTATATACTTATATAGTCGTAGTACATAGGACGCTTTCGAAAATGCAATTTGGGCAGCAAACATGCAGTGTACAATATTCGTAAACGCCATTGCATTAATTTGGGCAAAGTATAAAAACAGTATTTCATGCACATGAGCTGTCAATATTTGCTGGATTTTCGTTTTGCATGCATTGCATTGAAAATATTCAAGATGTAAGGTTCGCCGATGAAGTAGGTAATTTATATTACTTATATATTTTATTAAAAGAAATGTAATTTATTAAGTTCTAGTCGTTATATAATAATACTTAATTTTTATTTCGTTATCATTTTATTCATTAGTACTTATTTATATTATTATTAAGACAATACACAGTACATTCGTAAACGTCAAATAAATACACTGCATATTTGTAATGTGCTTTGCTTCGCACGGGCATGTGATGTAAAAATGTTTTGCTTATTGCGTTTATAAAGCAGTCGTAGTCATTATAATATTGGCGTCTGATTTTCTGCAACTGTAAATAGAATAACTGAAAATTGTATACCGTAATTAATTAGTAACTGTCTCAGCAAATGTATGTGTGAACATTTATACGCAAATATCTTAGATTAATGCAAATGCTTTACATGCATGGTTAAATTGCCTTCCGGTTTTACCAAGCCCACATCGTTGTCGATGGTCAGATATTGGCGCATTACCATTCAATAGACAGCAAAGCAAAATGGGATGACACGCTTCATTAGCCACCTGAAGTGCACCGGTGTACAGGTTAATGCAGAAAGAAAAAATGCTATAATACGTACATCAACCGGGGCAGCCAAAGATGGTGCCATGAAATAACAAAAACAAAAACGCCTATTGCTGCTCTTTAAGGCGGTTTTCAGAAGTGCAAGCTTTGTCGATTTCAATATGATAGTGCGTGCAGACTACTCAGAAACTTCACACACAATTACTTTATTTTAATTATAAAAATGCTCCAACAACAACTTAGCTTTTTCAATTAGAGACACTCATTTTTTATTATTTTTAGGTGTCACCCTTCTAACTGGTGCTTCTCTTTGAATTAGCATCACAACGTATAATAAGCGTGAACATGGTGTATTAAGTTTGTCACGAAGTTTGTAACACCCAGAATGAAGCGTCGGAGACCCTATAAAGTATATATCGTTACCTAAAATGCAAAGTAACGCAACAACATTTTCGAAAATTTAAAGCGGTGTGAATGAAACATGAAATAAAAGGGAACAAGAGTGAAAAAATATTTGAATATTGGTTAAAACTGGTTCATATATAAGCGCAAAACCTGAAAATGTTGGATACATGTAGTATTATGTATCCAAGCTTGTCCAGTCTTGGTGTTGCAGCTTTTATGTACCATATGTAGATATGTACATATATACCTACAAATAATATATACATATGTTGGGTTGAACACACATGAATACGTAGAGCACTTCTCTGGGTATTTGAAGCTGCAGCGGTTGCCGGGGGCCCTCATCTGCGCTGACTCTTAATTACGTCATTTCTGCACAAGCTGCCCGCAATGCCATGCGCCGGTATGTGTTAGGACTCGTGCAGCAAATCATCTGATAGGCTTGCTGCCTATTTTAGTTTTCAATTTGTGCAGTTACTGATTAGATGAAGAATTTTCCGATGCTCAACGGGAATATATTGTATGTGTAGGCACTAATAAAAAAGTAGCAAGGAATGGCAAGCGAAGGCATTTACGACAAGTTTGTTTAATTTGCAACAAATGCAACATACCATTAACGCGACTCTTGGCGCAAGTTGACAGTTGCCAAACGGCACTTTTCATTTACCGCTCGCAATACAGATGTGCATTGCATCGAACGTGCTGGCCAAGCGTTAGCAGATGTTGTGGCACCATTGGCACCTGTATCTTACCTTTTACGTATGGCATTTATAGTTGTTGTTGTCATCTCGCGAGTTGCTCGCATTGCATGTTCAACATTTATATATGTTGTAGTGAAATTGCTTCTCAATTGATTTTTCTTTTATTGCGGGCAAGTGGCGACACTTAGATGTACATACCTGCAACCGACGTAACAGGACATCTAAATACCAACACACATGCATAGAAGCAATGTATCTAGGAGAGTTTCAGCAGTTGCCAACTGTCGTTGGTGTTGTTATTGATCGTTTACTATTCTCAATTCATTCCTCCATGAAATCTTTTTCTTGATTACTTTGGAAAAAACTTTTTGATGTTAAATGTAATCGTAAAACGAAAATGTATTTCATCTTCAAATTGAATTTTAATGAAAATTGTGACATTTGCATTGCTGGATAATATTAATAATCCAACGATTACCCTCCTCCCGCCCAAACAGCGCAAGGGGCGCATTTGCATACGTGTGAAAAAACCGAGTCAAGAAAGGCATGAGATTTTTTAAAGGTCGAGATCTAAAACTGTTCAGCTAGTGAAGTCAAAGTTTTAAAATTCGTTACAACCGATTGTTACGATTTTATATATTGAGAGAAGGCAATATAGTCTTTTTAGTTTCGAAAAGTGAGTCAGATAAACCAAATTTGCGGGAATGAGAAATAATTTATGTCATATGCCGTTTGATCTAGAAGAAACGCTTTTGATCTTGAAAAGCGCACCGCGATATAAAACTTAACTTCAGGCAGGAGAAAAGAACTGCCACTTTCCAATCAGGATTTTTACTAAGAATACAAAGCCAAGCATATCCCTGCGACATGTAAGTGTAGGTAGATTCATAAGTTTTAAACGATTAGTGTATGGAGGTAGACTTAATACCATCGGAAATGCCTTTAGGCGGAAAGTAAGCGATGATATTAGTAATTTCCGCAACTCTGTATAAATCGAAGCAGGCTTCAATTTTATGGACATGCGCACGTTTATATATATGTAGGTATATGCGTTCGATTGCGCACATATACATATGTATATGGAAGCTTATGTGTAAAGATTAAGTTTTCGGAGGTAGATGATAGACAGCAGTGGGCAATGAGGCGAGAGCGTGTCGTCTGCCCATTGCATAAATTACCAATTCTTTATGACCAATCTGCGTACAATCAGTAAAAATGCGGTGAAATATGCCAGAAGCAAACCAGTTACTCCGTCAACAACAACATCAACAGCCAGAACATAACCGACCACTCTAGCCAACGTAAGCGCAACTGGAGAAGCTGCATATTATATGTACCGTAAATACGCGCTCCATGCTCATAGTTTATTTTGATCTGTTGGTTTTTACCGCAATGGACTCTGGATTAACTTGTTGTGCTATTTTCTTTGTTTTGCAATATCTGCGTAACTGTTACATTGATATTGCAAACAAAATTTATGAAAAGCTTTTCAACAGCTGCAAACTAGTGGGCCGCAACACACCACAAATGCGAAATTCAAGTTGGATACTGTGCAAATGTGACCCGTGTGCATTCATAAGAACGCATGTCAACGGGTGGACGAGTTGGTGATGGACCTAATACTGTAAGTACCTTGTAGGAACTTAGTTAGTTAGTTTTAGTTTTTATTGATTCCTTTCCAACCTATTTAAACATTCTAAAATTTTCTTCAGCAGTAAGCCAAACTATTGCGACCTAGAAAAGGTGTTTTATCAATTCATCTGTATATGGTTGCAATAATTCTAAGTAGGAGTGACTTCCGTAGTGGTTGAAAATTTATAAACATCGTTTGTCCAATGTTTACCGTTTTTTTGCACGACTTTAATTGAATTAAGCCAACACCTCCGTTTAATATAAATTTTCATACTCCAGCTTAAAAATTGGTTAAGAGCTGAAATTACCCGCCTACTGTTAAAAGTGTGTCGATTAAAAGAAGTTACCACGGATAAGCGGCTAATGGCGCACAACCCCAAGCGTTTGGTAATTCACCAACTAACGGAGAGATAGAAGCAAATAAAAAGGAAAAACAATGCTAGGCTGTAGAAAACAAGAAAAGTCAATTTTGGCTGCTCCTGCTATAATACCCTTCACATATGTAAGTGTACGTTTACGTTGATTTGGTCGATCAGTATGTTTGGCAGCTTATAGCTTATTGTGATCCGATATCGGCGGTTTTGACAATAGAGCAGAATATATACAGATGAACAAACAGACCAGCATAGCTAAATCAATTCTACTTATAAATAAAGAGGGTATGACGTTTTCTTTTGGGTGTTACAAATTTCGTGGTTCAGAGTATAATGAAAAAACATGGTTGGCGCCGTCCAAAAATTATTAACACACAATTACATTACAGCACTAAATTTTGCAGTTCAGTTGTACAACTGCCTATATTTGGTGTCGGCGGTCGTGGTGTTACGGCCAGAGTATCCGTACCGCCAAGTCCAAGCCACTACACCACGGCCAAGGTTACTCGTGCCCATATTATTTTAAAATTTTGTTGGTGTAATTTACTGTTCTTTCATACCAATAACGCGGTGCGGGCGGCAGCCGGCTGCGGTCGAAGTAATTTCTCGTAACTGGTTGCGGTTGCACACTCAGTAGCTTTATACTTGTGTAGTTGTTGTCGGTTCAAACGCTTCATTTGCCAACATTTATGGTACCCATTGAAGATCACAGGCATCCAGCGAGTTAGTTGCTTGCGGTAAGTAAGAATAATCGAGTTGGTGGCAGTTGGGATGCGTTCACTGTGGACCGTTAAAAAGTTAAACTTAATCACTAAATTTGACGTTGCAAAAACAAAAAAGTATATAAATTAGCAACAAAAGTTGTTAGCAGACTACTTATACACCAAAAACAAATAACTGGATA